TTCAGATAAGTTTTGAATCTGAAAAACCAGGAAAACTGCACCTGACATTTTAAAGCACTCAAATGGGAACATCAAGCAAGCAGCTAACTACAGATAAACCAGGGGGGGAGCCTGGGTGGCACAGTCAGTTAAGCGTCCGACTCTTGATTTCGGCTCAGATCATGATCTCATGGGTTGTGAGATCGAGCCTTATGTCTGGCACTGCACCGACATCACGGAGCCTATTTGGGATTCTCTCTCCCTCCTCTCTCTGCCCCTCCCCTGCTCATGTTCTAGCTCTCTCAAAGTAAATAAACAAATATCTAAAAAAAAAAAATTAAAAAACAAACAAACAGGTTTATTTACCTTTACTATGACTCAGGAGAAATTTAAGAAATGTCTTGAATAGCAAAGTAGATTCTGGGAGAACTGTACCATTGAAAACTGAATAGAACCAATTTATTATGTTAAACCCTGGAATTCCAAAAGACAGGCCAGATGTCAAAAGCTAATTTTTAAACTTTCTACTTGCCCTAACTCATATTGAGTAAACTTTAAATAGGGCGTAACACCAAAAATTACAATCTACTTTTTAAAAGGCAGGCCTGATTTCTGCCTGTGATTATACTGGGAGGAAAATGAAATCAGCAATATCCTGACTTGTTTCATAGCAACTGTTCCTTGCCCTTGGCTAATAGGCAAATGGTGTTTTCAACACCGCATTCCCAACACAGCCCTTCAATTATTAAGACGCCTTTTCATTTTCTTGGCTATTCTCCATGCCTCGCGTTTCTTATTCCAAAGTCAAGTCCAGAATATGCTAAGAATTACTCTATTATGAAAGCCTAGAGCAATCTAGTCTCTTTAACCTTCAGGTAGGATGGCAGTTGCCATTTTAGGTCTTTAGAAAAGACCATGGCAGCAGAGGCATCTTTCTTCTTGGTCACAGCCCTCCTAATGCGGCTACTCTTCCGGCTCTGAAGAAGGATCTGGAAGATGAAGGTGTGCTTTTACCATATTATTGGCCCAAGCGATCAGATGGCCTCTCCACTTCACGCTCCGTATGTTCCCTTCCCCTTCGTGCAGAACACACGACTTCCATCTGCTCATCCAAGATCGTTCAAACAGCAGCAGCTATGGACAAATACAAAAACAGACTTTTAGAAACCAAGAAACATGGGGCGCCTGGGTGGCTCAGCTGCTTACGCTTCCAACTTCGGTTCAGGTCATGATCTCATGGTCCGTGGGTTCGAACCCCGCATGGGGCTCTGTGCTGACAACTCAGAGTCTGGTGCTGCTCCAGGTTCTGTGTCTCCCTCTCTCTCTGCCCCTCCCCCACTCACACTTTGTCTCCTACTCTTTCTAAAAGAAATAAACATTTAAAAAGAAAAAGAAAGAAAGAAACCGAGACGCATATACAAGATTTCTTTACTGGCTTCTTGTTGACAGTTTGCTTTGCCTGTCCTCGGAATGTTGAAGTTACTATGAAGTTACGCCACTAGATGGCAGCAAAATACCAAAATTCATGGAGAAAAACACATTAGTCAAAAGATTTGTGTCACAGAAAGTTCTTCAAATATTGGCCAGAAATTAATTTATTTTGTAACTTGGGAAATCAAAACCTCATAATTTTTTCCTTGAAAGTAAGATATTAGTCACGGCTTAAACTGCAATCGTCAGAAGCAGCCTGTTTTTCATTTCACCCAAGAAAAAGAATTTAATAATGATGTTTGAACAGCAATTCATGTTATAAAATAAGACAAACTTACTTTAGGATTAAACTTCTTTAAAAAGGTCATAGTGGGGCGCCTGGGTGGCGCAGTCGGTTAAGCGTCCGACTTCAGCCAGGTCACGATCTCGCGGTCCGTGAGTTCGAGCCCCGCGTCGGGCTCTGGGCTGATGGCTCAGGGCCTGGAGCCTGTTTCAGATTCTGTGTCTCCCTCTCTCTCTGCCCCTCCCCCGTTCATGCTCTGTCTCTCTCTGTCCCAAAAATAAATAAAAACATTGAAAAAAAAAATTAAAAAAAAAAAAAAA